TACTATCGATCAAATCGAAAATATGATATAAAACTAAAGAAAAAAAACAAATACGAGATATCTTATAGTATTATTATAAATTGCATATACATTAAAAAGAAATTATATATGTAATTATGATCAATTAATAAATCTCTCATATTTATCTTTATCTTACTTTTTAATTTCTTCTAAATTAATTCAAATAAAAAAAATATTTAAACAAGTTGAATACAATCGATATTTTATTATTACAAAACTAAATGAAATATTTGTATATATTTTTTGTTTTGAATACATTTTATATTTGATACAATCTGAATAGATATTATTCATCGTTTATTTTATTTGACATGTTGTTGCTTGTTTTAATATTATGACAATTTGGATGATTTATTATTTCGTTTATCATATTTTCACGCTTCTTATTTCTTCGTCGATGACTGCATAAACAATACTTTTTATATTTTTAGTTTAAAAATATCAAAGTTAAAGTATATTTTTCATGTTAGAAATTGTATAAAATCATATAAGGAAAGTATATCTAATCATCTAATTACGATTAAAAAATATATACCTATATTTTTTAATATAGTGAATATCTTATTACTATTATTAATACTTATTTTATATTTTATATCATTTGAAATTCAAAATACATTTCCAGTTATAAACAGATATGTATATGTAATATTTCTAATAAAATATAATTTTTATTTAAATAATACATTATTTATATCAAGTCTTCTATTGTTCGCTTTTAGTTTTAAAATAAACTTATTTATGTGTAAAAATTTATTGAATAATTTAATAATAGAATAAACTTAAAAAACTAATCTACATAGAGAAAATCAGCAATTAGCAAACACAGAAACTTTTGAATAACAAAAAGAAATCACTTTAATTTTATAAAATTGATTAATACAAAATTAACTCTTGTTTATTACTCTTACATTTTCTAAATTTGATTTATTTTTCAAGATGAATTTTTGTCAAAATTCAAAATATTAGAATTAGTTAATAAAATATTTCTAATAGAAATAATTTATATTTTCACTTATTTCATTTCAATATGAGTTAAGTAAACAAAATATACATGTGACTAATAAAAGAACAAAACAAATATGTAATTATATGATAGAAACTATTATTTCTTTTCTACTATTAGATACTACAAAGTAGAATATGAAAAATTTGATTAGCTAAAATAATATGTATTCACTAAAATATTATAAATAACATTTATCATTCTGTTACTATACAATAGAAATTACATAAAAGAAACTTTCTTATTTTTTTCTCATAAAAACTTAATAAACTAATTTGTCTTTTGTATTTTTTATTATTAAATTTTCTTAATATTTATCAAATAAAAAATCTTGATAAAATATCAAATTTAATGATTAATATTTTAATAGTTTTATTTATCATTTAAAACTATACTTTTTATTTACTTGATTAATGAATATATATACGTATTTGAATTCAAAACTCAACTAAATATTTTATTTTGATTTTCTGATGGTATTTTATTTCAATACAAACGAAATATTATTAATGATGAAAATTTTATAAAAATATTTCTATGTATTAATCTTTCATATTGTTAATAAAACTCAATCAGAATAATTTATATAAAAATTGTATTAAATTAAATTTTGTCTCTTTTTTTTTAATTTTACTAAGACATTTAATTCAGCTGAATATTCAAAAGTGGATACTAATATCCAGATTCACTTGCATCTTGAGTTCCATACTGAATTGTAAATTAATTGAATTATTATGTTTAATATATCGATTTTATATCTTTTCAAATATATATTTTTATGATCATTAAAATACAGGAAAAAAACAAATTAATATTTGATTTTTCGTATTAATTTTAGTTTTCAGAAAAAAGTAGATGTAAGATTTTGTTGATTTTTTTCTGATATTTGTAACTAATAACTAAATTCAACTCTTTTCTAGATTTAAAATTCTTTTATCTTTTTCCATACATTGTTTGGATTAAATTTTCACAGTTAGTATGCCTAATTCATTCATTCTCAAATTAGTGTATACGATGAACAGACGAAAAAGATGTTCATATACCATTATTATAAAATACTCATTGATGACGAAGAGAGAAGATCATTTATTCCACTCATATATATGAGATGTCTTTCATATTATAGAAATGTAAATATAAATTGTAGAAACAATAATTCCCATTCCTACTTTCGTCAGGAGAGAATAAATATGTTCATGATTTTACTTCTGTGACATAAAAAGACAGATTATCTTTTTTTTATTTTATGTTACTTCTAAGACTGCATAGGTTTCAATTACATTGAGTTTCGTATCTATCTAAATTTATCGTTCGAAATTTAACCGAACTTCTTATGCATTTAATTAAAATATTGACATCAATTGATACAAAAAACTAATTAGAATTATTTTTGTTTAACATTGATCATTATGTTATGAATTGAAAGCATTCTTGTTTTCAAATGAACCTTAAAAATAATCTTACGATCAGCCAATGTATTTCCATACGAAATTCTATCTATATGTATATTCTTCTTCAATAAGGATCATTAAAAACGTTGCATAAATTCATGAATCAAATATCATGAAGATCGATAGAAATTGATTTGATTATAAACAAAAAAGACTACACGTTACTTCATGTAGTGGCTTGGTAAACCTGTATTAGAATAGAAAGACTTCTAAGATAAATATCGTTGATATCTGTATCGTAATAATCATGGACATACATATTACCGATTAATAAACTCGTATGTATATTTTCGAATACTCCATACCAATTCTAAGCTATTAAACTGTTTTTATTCAACAAAATATTCTTTCGATTTCATTCAATCAATCAATTATCATTTTAATGATATAATTGTTTTGTTGGTGAACCAATATACATTGTATATAACTATTGAATTACATGGCAAGAGTAAACAAAAATCAATCAATTAAATAACTTGTTTAATATGAAACAAATCAGTCACAATGATATTCTTAGATTTTGCAAAAGTGTTTTTAAAAAGGATTTCATTGTCTATTTAAATATAATTAAAAACCTAGCATGGAACAATTTGTCTTACTTGAAATAAAACATAACTAAAGAGCTGATAAACCAATAACGAGCATTATATCTTCTAGGAAGAAATTTTAATCTTAATTTGAAAAGAATTTTGCTTATTGTATATATTCTGTCACTCAGCATGGAGAAGTGTGGCGGCAATATGTTTAACTTTTTACCTTTATTCTTCTCACCGGTAGGTCAATTAGATTATGAACGATGACTATAGGTTACATCGATCAATATATTTTGTTAAATATTTTGTAGATTAAAGAATCTTAATCGAACAACAAATAAAATATTCATTATACTGATCCTCACACCTTACACAATTCATCGATAAGCATAAAATAATTATTTTGTTGATTATTATTATTATTATTTTACTGTTGAGAAAGAAATAGAATTCACAGATCTCTTGATACATCTATGGTTAAATCATGATCATCTTGATTCGTTTCGAGTGTCTTTTCCCATTTAATTATTGATTGATAAATTGCTTGATTGATTGATTGATTACAGAATTATTCGTACACTACGTTATTTTTCATCAACATATGTAGTTCTTCACACATCTATGATATCAATTCACAATGTAACATATTCGTAAATAATTTTTTGTTTTCAATAACAAAACTATCTTTAAAAATCAATAGTTCTTGATTGAATATACACAATATGATCACTATCATGAGTTATATCTCGGATGAAGGATTTCATAATCTTATTGCTCAAAGAATCAATTCAGAAATAGAATTTATATTTAATCATATGATTATTATTGAATAAGAAACCAAAAGTGTCAATATTCTAAAATGTAAAATTAAAATACAATTTAGCTGTTGTCTACAATGAGTCCATCGATTAGTCGCCTGTAGTGTTATTATTTAACCAATTAGTGTAAATCAATTAGCGTATCAAATAGGCTTGGCATTTTTTCCTTCTTCTAATCTATCAATTGATTTCCTCCAATAAAACAAACATCTTTCAATATACTTTATTTTTATTGGTCGAAGTGGAAGCGAGAAAAAAAAATTCATCATCTACAAATAGATTTTACATCTGGTGCAATAACATCATTCGACTGACAACATTTCTACTGTTCACTTCATTGACATTAACACAAATGGAAGACGATCGTAGTACAAGTCCATCAAGTATTGCTTCAAGTGATGATGAACATCATACTGATTTACCTGAAGTTCAAGTATATCAACCAACATTCAAGTAAATATTTTTGTATTTTATTATTAGTTCATAATCTTATTTTGAAATTTTTTAGCCCATTTTGGTTTCCTTTTACACCATTACGAAATTCACCATTATTTAATTCATTATCATTTCAACAACCAATTCGTTCAGCAACACCGATAGTTCGTCATAATTTCAAGAGTATCGATGACCTTCTTTCTCCTATTCCTAATTCTATTTCTTCTACTCCCTCTCAACGAAATGGTAAGATAAATTTGTAAATTTATTTCTTTTTATTTAGATGCATTCAGGTAAGTATATTACAAGATATATAGTTTCTTTGTTAATCTATCTCTTTTTTTACTTATCAATTAAATTATTTTTAATTTAGATGATACTGGCTACAGTTCACAATATTTATCTGCTTCATTACTTTCATTACGACAAAGTCGTGAATCAACTGATTCTTCGCAAGAAAATGAAGATGATATTGAAAATATAAAACCAACAACATCATCATCACCTATTGTTGATAACAAAAAACAAAATAATGAATCGGTAAGTTTTTATCAGAAATTAATCATAATTTTATTCATTTTATATTTTGTTTCAGAAAAATAATAAATCGAAAAAGATTCGTACAGCATTTACAGATCATCAAAAATTAAGTTTGGATCGTTTTTATTCAACAAATCGTTATCCAGATCCAACACAAATGGAAACATTATCACGTTTATTATCACTTGAAGAAAAAGTTATTCGTGTTTGGTTTCAAAATAAACGATCACGAGAAAAAAATCATCCACGAAATCAATTATCTATTCATCAACAACCTAATCCAACAGCAGCTATGGCTATGTGGCAACAATTTTCATCATCACCAAATTTTCCTCATTGAACATAATGAATAGAAACTGGTTTTTTTTAATTTGATGTCCGCAGTATATTTTGTATATATTGTTATTCTTGTTTAATAAATAGACTGAAAACAAAAATATCAACACTTTTTAATTAGAAGACGTGACGAATATCATAACTGTCAAAAGAATTTTGTCAATGAGTAAGAATGAAATGAGTGAACTGTTCTTTTAAAACAGCTGTTTGTTCTGCTCATTCATTGCTTTTTTTATATAAAGTAGAACAAAATTGTTCATATATGAACAGATGATTTGTCTACGCATATGTAACAGAGTAGTTTATATTAGTTCATCTTTTATCTTTGCAAATCATTCATGAGTTTTAATGAATTAAGAAATCATCTTTATCGAAATAAACCAATATTATTTATGATAAAATATTGAATGACAACGAATACTTTGCACTTATGAACATTTATGAAAGAGTTCGAACTATTCTTTATCATCGTTGTTTTATGTGATTAAAAGACTAAGACTCTACATCATCATTGAGTTATTGTTCTAGTTGTAATCGTATAGATACTAATTTCGCATAAGCGTCATGTTTACAACAAAAGCAATGTAAAAATTTTATGAAGATAATTAAAAATCAACTATGAACTTTCTTTGTAATACAACTTTTATTTATAAAATTCTGAAGTATATAATTGTACTAGTTAACAGTATTAGATTTAAAAAACATTAAAAATGCAAGATTTTGATAGTTACGAAAAAAAATTGAATTTGAGTGAATATTAGATAGTTTAATTTTAAGTTGATTTCTGAGCCCGTCCAACAAATGTACTCATAGAATCATCAACACCACTTAAACTTTGCATTTCTACTTGAGCTGTTGTTGATGTAATACTAATATCAAATAATAAGAACAATCAAGTAAGAAAGAAAAATAACAACTTCTTTTTTTCTGCTTACCTTCTCAAAAACAAAACTGCTCTTAAAATTTTTGGTACTAATAACATATGTCGATCTTTTCGAACAGCTTCAATAATTTTATCACATATATCATCAGATTTTATTAGTGGAAATAATACACTAAATAAAATACAAAATCTATTTTGCTTGAAACTATTTAATATCTTACTCAGTTTTGACACCTTCAAACATGCCTGTATTGATAAAACTTGGACAAACTACAGTTGTTTTTACACCAGTCTTTTTCAAAGCATACAATTCATGTCTAAAATAAACATCATATAATTTATCATGACTTTCTAAAATGTTATCCTTACGTTAAAGCTTCATGTAAACCAACAGCTGCAAACTTTGATGAACAATAGTCAACAAGACGTGCTGTACCAGTTAAACCAGCAGCACTTGCGATTGTTACAACATGACCATGATTATTATCTAACATTGATGGTAAAAATGCTTTCAAGATCTAGTAATATAAAAATAGCAATATAGATACTACAATTCGTAATAGGAACATACCCAAAAATGTGCAAGAACGTTAACATCAAATGTACGTTGAATGGATGCATCACTACACTCTACCAATGGTTTACCTGAAACAACACCAGCATTATTAATGACCATTGTTACATTTCCTACAGTATCTTGAACCTAAGTAATTTGTATTTATATATATCTATATATATAGCATATTCTATATATACCTTTTTAGCACATTCATAGATACTTTCTCTGTTTGTGAGATCACATTTCATCGCATGAATGCGTTTTGATTTCGTCTCTTGATTGAGTTCTTCAGCTACACGAGCATTATTATCTCCATCGACATCCCAAAGAACTAATGTACAACCCAGATTGGCAAGTCGTTGAGCAACACCTTTGCCAAGACCACTTGC